GGAGCAGGCTTCCCAGAGAGGTGGTTGATGCTCCAAGCCTCTCAGTGTTTAAGAGGCATTTGGGCAATGCCCTTAATAGCACGCTTGAACTTCGGGTCAGCCTTGAACTGGTCAGGCAGTTGGACTAGATGGTCATTGTAGGTCTCTTCCAACTGAAATGATTCGATTCTATTCTATATTATTAGCATTTAAAAATAAGAGTTGCTGTGCTCAACATTATTTCTGTGGAGAGAAATCCTCTATCTTGTCCTTCTTTCTCTGTTTAATCCCACCATATTTCTATATATCACTTCTGAAGTTTGTCATATGTATTACCTTAGGCAGCAGTATACAATGTTATGTATTTTGAGGCAAAGCCCCTTCATCTTGAATATTTTCCCATTGTACTGTGTCCATCCAGGGTTAGGCCATAATTTCTCAGGCAAAGCAATCTTTGCAAAACAGAAAGAGTACTTTGTCTCTGAGTCAGACTACCTGTGTGTCCTGGTTTCGGCTGGGATAGACTTAATTTTCTTCATAGAAGCTAGCATAGTGCTGTGTTTTGGATTTAGTACCAGAAGAATGTTGATAACACACTGATGTTTTCAGCTGTTGCCAAGTAGTGCTCAGACTACTCAAGGACTTTTTGAGCTTCTCCTGCTCGCCCAGGTGCATAACAAGCTGGGAGTACAGCACAGCTAGGACAGCTAACCCAAACTGTCCAAAGAGCTATTCCATACCATATAACGTCATGCTCGGGGGGGGTTAGTTAGGTCGGTTGGTTGCGGGGAGACTGCTCGCGGCTCGGGGACTGCTCGCGGCTCGGGACGGGCTGGGCATCAGTCGGCGGGTGGTGAGCAATTGCATTGTGCATCATTCGTTTTATATATTCTGTATATTCTGTTATCATTCTCATTATTACTATTATTATTATTTTCTCTTATTAAACTGTCTTTATCTCAGCCCTCGGCTCTAACCTTTTATTTTCTTCCCGATTCTCTCCCCCATCCCACTGAGGGAGGGGGGGAGTGAGCGAGCGGGTGCGTGGTGCTTAGTTGCCAGCCGGGTTAAACCACAACACTGTGTTTCAGGGACTCTGTAAACAGTATGCAGCCACCACCTTGTGTTGTTCAAGCAATAGTAAAAGGACTTGTAGCCAGGAGAAACTAAGGGTTCCAAAGATGACCCTAAACGTTATTCATTATAAAACTGTTATATCAACTGTAGATTACAGTATCTCTTGTGCAATATGTTGCTGGAGAGACTTTGCACAGGAGAAGGATGAAAAGCAAGGAGGCTCAAAGGTTTCCCTAGTTCCCTTTTAGACTCCTACTTAATTTGCTCCTTTATGCAACTAAGCCATGGTACAGATTGCAACATAGTTGGGCTGCATGAAGACCCGTGCTATTTCTTTTGTACTTTTTGAAGGTTGATATTCTTCTTCATCCTCTAGGAGATTGTTCCTAGTCATTTGCTACATCTAGTAAGTTTTTTTAAAAGCTGCTATTCTTAAATAGAGGAAATAGAACTACTTCCATTTTCATATTAGTTACAGTTACCTAAGTTCCAGTATGAGTGTGATTATGTTCAGTTATGGGGTAGTGCAACTTCTAGAAACACAGACTATTAAATACTGCTAAAAAGCTTGAAAGAGGTTGTTGGGCATTTCCTAGGCATTTTAATGTCTCATAGGAAGGAACTTTTGAAGCCAGAATTCTATTCGTGTTGTGTATGAACTTTAACGTGTGCCAAGGATTTTTTTTTCCAAAAGTTTATCCATAAAAAGATTTGAAAAAAATGTTAGCTATTTATATGATTAGAAAAAAAAAATGCTGCATTTTTTTCCTGTAAAGCATGTGGCAAAAGCAGTCTACAGCACTTGTTAGACATTACCAAATGTGCTGCTTCAGATCGCACTTAACTGCATAGCCCATGGCTCAAGTATTTGTTAAAAAAGAAAAAAGAGAAGGCACCTCTTCCCTCGCTTTTTTGGAAGGAATGGTAACATAGACATCAAACATAAGCAAGAGGAATTTGATGAGAAGAAAGACAAGCCTGCTTTAGTTCCAACATCTTTTCTCGGTGGCTCAGTCCTGGTCACCTTGACCCCTGTGGCTAAGAACCATCAACGACCATAGCCATCAGTGTTAACTGTACAGCATCAGCTCTGTGATGCTGTGTACTCACAACTAATTTAGCATGGATGTTTAACAGTGTGTAAGAATTGACCATTACCAAGCAGTGTGTTGTTAATGAATGAACTTAGTTTAACATTTAAAACAGGCCTGATCTGTTCCCAACACAGTAATTCTAATCCCCTAATACACATGTATGCACTCAGACATGTACACTCACATATGTTCAGTTAAAAACAAAACAAACCTTAGTTGTGCAAACTTTCAGCATTGCTGCTTCTTAGTATCCCAAGAGGAAGCTAGTTACTTATTTAACCCCAATTTCTTCTTGTGCAGTGGGACTTCATCACCTAAACCAATTCTAGATAACTATGCATATTTTTTTATTAATAAAGAGTCTGAACACTTGAGAGGGTGTTTATTTTTATTTTAGTGCCCTGCCACTTTCTGGAGCAATTGGCTCTCTTTTCTGTGGAGATTCAGCAAAACTTTGCAGTAGATTTTTCTAATAGTGAGTTGGCAGGTGAAGGTGAGCAATAGGTTTTGTTTTAGATAAGTTTTTTCAAATAATAATTCATTTGCATTAACGTATTGTGAATCTTATAATAATAAGCATTCAGTTTTATGTAAAGATCTATATGTATACATTGTAAGTTTAGTTTTATAAATATTCTGTGGCTGCTTGGTAACTGAAGCTATCTGGGGTCTGAGAAGCTATCTAGCTATCTGAGAAACCTCAGCAGTGTACTTTGTGATCAGTTGTAACTGTATTCCAAGCAAGTTCATATTCTCATATAAATTAGTGGAAAAACATACTTCTGTGGTTTATATATTATTTTAAAACTGGCAATTTATCAAGTGATTTTTCTTGAAATTTCCATGCTTATTAATTTTCAGATTATGTATTTTGAGTAAGCTGGAAACTTAAACTTGTTTCCATAAGTATGGCTGCAGGTAAACAAGCAATTTTAGTCCAGAAAATAGCTTTTGCTTCTGTCAACATGTTGTTTATTTTCTCCCTGAGATAAAAAGTTCAGTTTTCTGATATTTGTACCAAGATAAAGTCTGTAAACAAGATTAATATAGTGTGGAAAAGGTTGTCAGCAGCCCTGGCAAAGGAAATAAGTTGCCTGTACACAGAACATACTGTAAACTGAATAAAAGTGTCAGGTCCACCATGAGATAATGTGATCATGAACCTCTAACAAAGCATGACATAGGCACAGTCGGCTTTTCTTATAGCCACAGTGTAGAAAATGGATTACTGTATTCCAGGGATACCCACTGGAATAGCATGAAAACCTCATTTTGAGATTAATGCAGGATGTGACTCTCGAGAGCTGAGCTACATCTTTACCTAGAGTGTTAAAGTAACAGTTTAGTTATCTTAAAATTTGGAAATTACATATTAAAATACTTGCTTGTATTTCTAGGTCTGTCTTTATGAATTGACATTTCTTGCTCTTATTATTAGGTGAACTATGATATTGCAAAAGTAACATTTAGTCACTTTTGTTATTATCATGTGGCTATGTAAGGACTCAATAAGACTAGTAAAACAGGAGATTCCAAATGCAGGTGAAGCAGTAGGTGCTGTTCTCCCATGTAGCTGCCATGATTTCCTCTACTAAGGATTTCTATGTTTCCATAGATTTTTCTGCTGTAAGGTATTACCAATTCTTTTCCATCACCAGCAGCCAGAAAAGCGACACCACTTTAGGGTTTGTCAGTTTGGCCCCAAGTGATGTCATTCTTCAGGTCAAAGAAACAGATTTTGGTCAAATACTTTAACCGCATGGAGGTTTCAAATTATTCAGTGAGTGTTCTTTGAAAGTTTTCCAGACTTGGAGCTCCGACTGCCCTGGCTTTTCTCCAGCATGAGACAAGATGAATAGGGATATTTTTCTTTAAATGTTGAGCGCATTGTTCTTTCAATAAAGAGTAGGCTGCTTTTATCCGTGAATCTTCTGTTTATGTAGTTTTGGCAAGCCTGAGCCGTATAAAAGTATTATCATTGAGTTTTTGTGGTTTCCTTTCAAAACTGGCAGAACATCTGACTTCATTCCCACCTCAGGTCATCATCCACTGACTATAAAACTATCTCCAAGGAACTGAAAATTTGTCCCTGCATTCTTTCCAACAGGAATAGTTTTCCTTCTGCTCTGGTTCTTCAAGCATGAGTTACATCAGGTGGTCTCTTATTCTTCTGCATTTACCTACCTACACATGTAGACAAATCAAGTAGATTCTAAAAATAAAGCTGTTTGAATGCATCTTTGAGCAATACCAGAATATCATCATCTGCAAAAGGCTGCATGTGCTGTCATGCATTCTTAAGATCATTCTTAAATTGAACATGTTACGTGTTTTTCATGTCAGTGTATATAAAGCACTAGACAAGGACTGCAGTTCAGTGTGGTAAAAATAAGTTTGTCTTTGCTTTCTATCCCACATCAACCTGAATTTCAAAAGCTTTGTGTTGGGATACAAAGGCTGGGAGTGTTTTTTAATAAACTCACTGCTGTATTATACATAAATAAGGGTAGTATCTTGAATGTGATTTTCAAAATATCTAACTTTCATTTTCTGGAAATAAAGTGCTTCCTGGTCTTTTCAAAAGCAACTTAGGCTCCTGACATCTGTAAATGTCTGATGTCTGACATCCAGCCAGAATGGCACATACAGGATTTTGGTAAATCTTGTATACCACTTTCTGCACTCAGACTTTACTTAAAAATAGCAGGTACTGCTAACTGCATTTACTGTATCTAGTGTACTGTCTCTATTTTATGTTTAGTATTTGTGATGTGTTTTCTTAATAAATGATCACTGTGCAGGTATGGTGCCCCATTATTCAAAGACTTTTTTCCTACTTTTTTCCATTAGATAACTCCGGGACCAGGCGGTAGCAGGAAAACGGTTCACTTGTCCCAGGATTCTCTTCACCATGAGTGAGTATCAGTGATGGGAGTTAAACTTTTTGTTATTGTTTGCTTTACAGTAGTACCTCTGTCCCAAAGCCACATTTTACAACTGTACAAACATGTGATAAGAGAACCTCAGCTCAGTTACATAATGATCTTTATTTAATAATAATATTTACAAGCCTTTGTAATTAATTTTATGTTTCTTAATGAAACGTGACATTCAGTGTTTTGTAAATGTAACTTGCTAAAGATATGCTTTTCTAAAATGCAACAATTTTCAGGGCTAGATACCAAATGCGGGTTGTTTAAAAAGACCTGCTTTATTTGTCTCCAAAGGGAAATTGAGAAATGCCAAACTTGAATATATGAAAATAAACAAGCGTCACATCTTTGAGTCTTAAACATGATGTATCATGTGAGGAAGAAGGCTATCATAAATTCCCCAAAACAACATTGAATTAGTTGTTTGGACACGTGTAAATGGGGAACATCATTCAGTTTGTTTAGTTACTCCAGTGTGCCATTACTGTTCAGCTGACAACATTAGCAGCATTATTTCTTGATTATCTCTTTTGAATAGTTAGAATAAGAAGATTAAATATTCCTATATTTTCCAAATCAGAAATCTAAAACACAAACATACATGATTAGGAAATAATATATTTGAGGATACATTTATATGTTCTAACTGCTACTAGATATAGCATCCACAGTTTAAAACAAAACTTGCCAGAGAACATATACTGCAAACATCAGATCCTCAGTACCAACTGTTTTATGCTACTAATCCACTTCTGTTGCACCCCATAGCTTGCTAATTTGTGTGTTAACTAAAGAGGTTGTGATTTCATAAGTTATTTCTACCCTAAAGTAATTCAACTGATACTTTATGGGTTTTACTTTTGGTTTTTATTAAAAAAAAAAAAATAATAGTGTAATTAAGTGAATGGACAAAATTATAAAAAAGTGTGACGTGAATATCGCATTTTCATTACAAGAGGTCTTACTCTTTATGAAGAGGGGGTTTTAACGTTTAAATGAGATACATTCCAATTACTTTGATATATTTTCTCAATAGAAATGTATTTTACTAATAATTTAGTCTGTAATCCACTGAATTGCCACAAGCCAGCAGAGTTTATGTGGAGGAGGATACCACAGTTTGCTGCTCCTCCTTGAGCATTTGCTGTTGACACTGGTCAGAGACAAGACACTTATCTATGTGGAATTTAGACCTAACCCATTATATTTCTTATCTTCCTCAGCTTCTGGATGTTTGTGACCTTATTTGTTGAGTCACTGGCAAAAGTGATGGTTTTTCTTTTCATCCACTGCCAACGTCAAAGCGGTGTATGCACAAGATCTTCCTGTTTTCCTGATTTTGAACTATTCAGTGCAGTTGATGAATGTTTCATGTCCAAAATATATAAATGTCTATTAATTTTTATCTCATAGTATACTTTTAAGTTTATTGCTGTCATTCTTTTGTCATTTCCAACTTATTTTCCTTAATCACCTTAAAAGTAGAAAAAGGAGTTAGCAGTATGCAGGTTTTGGTGACAGCTGGTCCTGTATACAAGAATGAGAGGGTTAACTGACCATTAGCAAACTCACAAAAAGTGAGTGACAAAAAGCCACAAAACTTTCAGATTTGTGACTTAAATGAGTAATCTAGACCAGACAATTCTAAGGAATCTGCTTCTTCTCAGTATATTAATTAAAGTAAAAATTTTAGTGTCATTATGTGGCTGCTGTGTGGAAAAAATGAGAGTAAACTGTATTGAATTTAACTACTTCAGAAAAAAGCATGACTATTTCAAGCTTATAATCTGTGGTTATACTTCTAGAGGAACTTACAAGCGTATTAGCAGATAACGTGATGGTCTTTTTGTGCAATATTATAATGGATAGAATTATATTATCTTTGCCCAAAACCTACTGTTTGCTTACATGAGTAACATGTAGATACTATATGTAATTTCAGATCCCCCTTTGTTTTAATTGTTTTATCCTTCTCCTTTTCATTTTGAAAGTGTCAAGATTTGCCCCAGGTTTGTATAATGCTTACTACAGCTACATTCAGATGTTAATTCAGTTCTATGTGATCACAGTGTGTATGTGAACCAGTATTAATGTGCTTTTACTGCTCTTGAGGGGAAAGTCACGTTATGAGTTCTTGTCCCTGCGTGTCAGCATCTTAGGCCAGATTTTTGCCTCTATGAAATAAGGTGGTCAATAGTCAAAATTGTGCAATTGTATGGAGATACGAAGCCACTGAATTTATGAACTTTGAATTTCACTTTAGATTCAAACTCAGACCTCAGTTTGGGAAATAATACATTAACAACTACCAGGTAGTCCCCAGTACTTAAAAATCTTTTCAGCTACAATCATTAATAAGTAACACTTCAGTACTAAACACAGAATTACTTTTATTTACAACACATGCATTATAGTGTATTAAATTACTATCATTTATATATTATTTTAGCTTGTTTGACAAAATATAATTACCTATAAAGCCAATAGTTACTCAGAAGTGAAATTTTTGGTGTATTCTTTCAAAACTGTTAGAGTCTTAGAGTTCAATAAAAACATCCCATTAAAATAAAGCATAGCCAAAGGCTGTATTTTCCTGGCAGACAATAAAATACCCAAAAGCACGCACAGACTGGTCATATGACAGCACGTGCTTTGTTAGTTATATTGTTAAACCCGTCTTTTCTTTTTCTCCCACAGCCACTGGTTTAGCCCTGGGGCTAGGAAGGAACATAGCCAGGTAAGAACTGCTTTGATCAAGAACAGTTTATTTGAGATGTATAAAGGAATTTAACTACCTCTACTCCACAGGTAGTGGGCTAGTATTTTAAGAAATTATAAACAAAGCAGGTATGATTTCATATTTTCTTGTAAGGAAAAATATTAACAGCAGTTCATTTCAAAAAGTCCCTTAATTAAAAATCTTTAATTAGTCACTTAATTTCAGTTAAGTATCTTTGAGTTTTAACAGGTTAAATTAAAAGTCTGGGGTTCTTTTAATGATTTTGTTAATCGTAATATCTCTAAATGTTGTGTTTCTCAAAATGCTTGAAAGCAAAACATTTGACTCACAAAGTCAAGAAATACAGAACAGTGACAAGAGTGGGCAAGCTTCTACAGGAAGATCTTCAATTCCATTTTTCTGTATTTCATTTGTTAAGATGACCACAGCAGTAAAAAGACACAGTTAAATCTCCATCATGATGCTGGTATTGGTGAAAATATCTCACTTGTTTATCTGCTGAGCCCCTACAATGTAACCCCTAGGAGGTCCAAGCCTAGAGATGTGGTTGAGGGAATGTGAAGACACGTTTAATATTTGATTAGCAACATAGCACTTACTACTTCAGCTGGTCTTCAGACATGGAGGAATACTTTTATTTATGGATGGCAGTAGGGTCTAAACAGAACATACTGTCCAAGAACTTTATAAGTCTGTTTCATTTCATAAATATATAGTTAACTTCAACTATTCAGTAAAAGTAGCTGAATGTATCAGCAATGCATTGAAATTTAAAGTTCCATGGTATATTTTTTAAGTTAGTAAAAATTGATATCAACACAGTTGATTTCATTAGATTTCTGCCAGTTTACTAGTACCTTTACAAATTTAAATGGATTTGAAACTTCAAAAGCAAATAAGATCTATAGAATCTTTGGAGGGCTCATCTTAGGATGATCCATCGTGAACACTTGTAGGTCCAGTAAGTCATAACTTAAATGGGTGTCTCCTCCCCCTTCTTTTGAACTCCAGAGCAAGCTGAATCCCTAAAAGTTATATTACTTGCCCAAAACTGCCAGAGTGGGTAAAACATAATGCAGTTTTAGCTATGAATTGTGAACTTGTAACGTTACAGTAAGTTGACTAGCACTTAACATCTAAACAGATGGCTTTATATGATTTGCATTTAACTGTCATTATTTTGTAACACATTTCCTAGTAGAAGAAACACATTTAAAAGAGCATTTTAAACATGAGCATGCTTCATCTTAATTCATCGTGATAAAAAGTTCTCTTGGGTTAATCTTTATCCTATTCCTGAAATTTTTATGCTATATGTAGTCAATTTTGCTAGATCAGAATGAGTTTGAGTGATTTTTTTTTTTTAAACTGGATTTTTTTTAATATATTGATTGTCACGCATAACTGAGTAGTTAACTGAAGATGTACTGTTTACTTCTTTAAAGACTAAGCTTAAAACAGTACGGAAATTTCAATGCTGAGAAATAAGTTAACATACATCATACAAACTGGCAATATCCATTCAGCATAGAGTGTGAAAGATATCTGCTTAGCTGGTATATAATGACAAATTAATTCATATTTTCTCAGGTAATAGGAGATTTGAATTAATTTTAACTTTTACATGTTTATTTTCTGTTTCCTAAGAGCTCTTTTCAGCGCTTCTCTGAAGTTCACTGTATTTCTAACTTACAGATTACTAATGAATTGTGAAGTAAAGCTAATGTCATCAAATATAGGTGCTACTGGCACATAATGGGTTACTTTTTTTAGACAAGTAGAAGAGACGAGGATGATGGTGCAATGTAATTATGACCATTTTGACAGCCTATAAAATTGTCACTAAATTTGTGAAGATACATAGCATATAACTATTGGTTGCATGAGTTTACTACTCTTTTAATTAATTTCCAGAGGTGAAGTTGTTATGTTAGAACACAAGTAATTAACAGACAAATTTAAAGTCTGGCAGGTGATCTGTATTTGTACATGCTATAACTACAATTTACTTATCAGCCAGAGAACATTGATAACATTAAGACTGTTCTCCTTAGCTTGTCCATGAAATAGATACACATTGTATGTATGTCATGCTGGCAAAAATTGTGGCTACATTTGAATATGAATTGTAAGTACTCTGTCTTGTTGATGATAAGAAAATGAAAAAAAATATTTTATCAGAATAAGATGCCTTACCTTTATGTATTCTTCAGATTGCCTTTTAAAGCCAGCCTGCACCAGCCTGCACTACTTTTACTGCATCTGAGAACTAGATAGTTGAAATGACGAGGAGCATTCTTGAAACAAGAAGGAAGCTATAGAGAATTGGGGAAAAATTAATCAAGTGTGATTTTTCAGATAGGTGTAAGTTTTTGGAGTCCATGCTCATGTACAACATAGAGGTATGGTTGGCCAAGTCATAAAGTTCATAATTTCCTAATTTCCAGTGGACTTCTAAATGCATTTGCTCTGAACATTAGATCCATTTGCCTGTGGTCAGTTTCTAAACAGTCTTTCATTCTATACTTTCTTCAATATATGATTAGTTTCAAGAAACATTTTTATTTTTTATACAGTCTAGTTTTAATTTCTTTGGTGTAACTTTGACACTCTTTTTTTTTTTTTACTGTTACTGCCACTTTACTCATCCTGACAAATATCATAATGCTGGAAATAGACTTCTGAGTATTGGAGATAGTCTGAATGAAAAGTCTTCCTTTATTTATCTTAAAATAGATAGAGTAAATCGGACCTTGTTCCAGAAGCTGAGTCACCACTTCAGTTAAATGAATCCTTCATTAGTCCTACTTCCCCACTATTATGGGAAACTTTAATACTGTGTTTTTGTTGATTCTGCAACTTTCAAATTACAAAAGCTCCTGGGGCATAGAAGAGTTTATAGCTGTTCATAACTGCTTAGATGCAAGTGCTAACCTGAATAGTTTTTCATAATTTAAGTGTTCTCCAAGGCTTTTTTTATACAATTTTGAAAATTTAAATTGAAATTACAAAAATTGTAAAATTTTACAATTAATTGTGAAATTGTGAATTGCATGGCTTTCTAATATGCTTTGAGAATGCTTTAATTTTTTCATTTTCAATTATTTAAATTGGTGGATGTATCTTGAAATATTAGCTATTGTAAAATTCGGTTAGATGTCCATCTCTCTTTGAGTCTTGGGTGGAAACTACTGAAAAATTACTAAAGACAGGAAAGAATGGCATTGTCAGGGTAACAGTTCTAAAAAGCAAATAAAAGCGTTGCTTGTCAGACTGTTCTGAACATTTTTCTTTTTTTAATAGCTTCAACTCTTGCGAGACAACCGATCAGAGAGAGGACACAAGAAGAACAGCTCTGTAAAAACAGCTAGCAGGTAAGTTAATGCTTCAGCTGTCATTAATACTGTTTTTGAATTTGTTGATTTCTTAACTCTCAAATTTTTATATAAGAAATGACAACATTCTTTTTTGGGGTATTTTCAGAGGTATTCTGGTTTTTTGTGATTTACTTTCAAGAAATTCTTTTATATGGCATAATTGTTGCCTGAAATACGGGTATTAGACTTTATTGGTGACTATAGCCAACTACACTTACTAAAATTAATCTCTTAAGTAAACATCAGAATTAAATTGATGCCAAAGTAAGGTTTGTGCTTCTGGCATGTAAGTTAAGTGTTGAGAATGTATAAAATTACGATTATGCATACATGCTTTTGAAATCAAGACAATAACTCAAATACCGTAACACTTAAATTGTTCTTATATCGTATTTTGACAATCAAAATTTCATTGTGAAGACTTATTAAAAACAAATGCAGTTCTATCCTCTGGCTTCTTTCTTCCCTCTCAAAAGACACAAAATTCAACACTGAACTGGTGGGCTCTAGTCTAGGAGTCTGTTCCCAGAGGGGTTTTTTTATGTACATGTTGTCTCCTGAATCTATTCTGCCAAATAATTATTTTAATTCTAGTATTTTGTAAAATGAGAATCTACAGAAATGTTTCCCTTGCTATACTCAACACCTTACACAATTTTTATGTTGTTCTATAAAGATGACAATGTGCTGTGAAATTACTTTTTGAAAAAAGTTACAATATATTTATAACATCATGTAATACTATGGTTATGAGTGAGTTGTCTTTCAGGCACTTGTCTTTTAGCATTTATGTGGTCTTCCTGAAATAAGTTTTTAATATTATTAATTACTTGCTTTGAATACCTAGAAAGGGAGACCAATACTTCTTTCAAAAATATGCATATTATACAATGAAATAGATTCATATTTACAAGTTCTGGTTACACGCTTTAAAACATTGGTTATGCGAGTGTTGGTCATTCATCTTCAGAAATTGTGGTTATCTTTGTCTATTAAACCTTTCATATCAAGTGTCTTGGTTTCGGCTGGGGTAGAGTTAATTTTCTTCCTAGTGGATGGCACGGTGCTGTGTTTTGGATTTAGTATGGGAATAATGTTGATAACGCACTGATGTTTTAGTTGTTGCTGAGCAGTGCTTACACTAAGTCAATGACTGTTCAGCTTCCCATGCTTTGCCAGGTGAACCAGAAGGTGGGAGGGAGCACAACCAGGACAGCTGACCCCAGTTGGCCAAAGGGCTATTCCAGACCACATGACATTATGCTCAGTATATAAACTTGGGGGGAGCTGGCTGCAGGACAGCCATTACTGCTCAGGGACGGGCTGAGAGGCTGCTTCACTTTTTCCTGGGTTCTGTTACTCTCTCTCTTGTTGTTTTCCTATTCTTATTCTTCTTATTATTATCATCATATTAAACTGTTCTTATCTAAACCCACAAGTTTTCTTACTTTTGCTCTTCCAATTCTCTCCCTTATCCCACCGCAAGGTGGGGGAGGAAGGGGGAATGAGTGAGCGGCTGTGTGGTGCTTGGATGCCAACTGGATCTAAACCACAACATTAAGCCAAAAAAATTTTGAAAATTTCTGCATATATTTTTCTGGCAAGTGCACTTGTTAAATCATAATTTTGCTCAGAATTTTAGAATGAGTTTGCTTTAGATATGAATTTTCACCATAAATGCACTCTTACTATCAGGCTGCTTACATAAAACTGAGAATGTAAAGTGGATATAAAGTAAGCAGTAAGAAATGTTTTATTTAAAGTAATTTTAGGATCTTTTTATGCTGTAGCAATTGAAAACTCTGTCTGAGGAATTCAGAATCATAATTTTCATGGTTTTTATTCTGACCTCTGAAACTCTTGTGAAGTGATTGCTACCTACACAAGCAGTTAGAATAGAGATTTTTTTTAAATGGCATTAAATACCTGAAGTGATCTTCAACGTCTCTCATGTCCAATCAGCAATACATTAATAGACATCTCTTGGTACCATCATCTCTGTTTTCAAAGGCTTTTTCCTCCAGATGGAGTCAGGTTATTTTAAAATAGTTATTTGTGCTTTTCCAGAAAACCACTAATTTCTCTGCCTACCACAGAAACTTTACTGTTGGTTCTCTAAAGTGACTTGAAAAGAAGTTCTCCAACTTATGTGATAATGATACTTTTAACAGGCCATCTGCTGTCTTAGAATATCAAGTCATATATGTCTTATTTACAAGACTTATATTGAACAAATTCTAACATTCTTGCTACAGTTTAGCTGCTGAAAATAAGAATTTAATTTGCACCATGTGCAAATGTGTTTCTTATCTCGGGACAATAATATGTCTGGTGACTACTGTCTTCCTATGGTTTGAGTGTCATATAACCTAGTATTTTGCTTGTTATCAAAAGCTGTTAAAACCAAAATAGAGATTGAGTTTCAGATATATAGGAACAACACGACACACACAGTTCATTTGCTTGTATGTTCACAGTACCTATCCTCATTCGATTCAAGACAATTCTTCTGATATTTTGTTCCTTACAAATTAAATCCATGGTGCATAATGACATGTGTCAGATTTATCTGTGGTTAATATTGAAGGCTGATTTTTTTTGACTTAATTTCAAATTATCACTTCTAGCAAAAGGATTAATCTTAGTTTCACCAAATAATACAGAGAAGGAAAATGTTTCTGCTTAACAAGGTACCTACAGACATTATTATTTTAGTAGCAAATATTGTTCACAGAGTTAATAATATGGTATCACATTAGTTGCAAATGTGTATTCTCATTACCTTATATGAAATCTTAAAGTGGAAGTCTGTCATTTAGATTTTTGTATGTGCCCAAATACTTTAAAAACCACTAAACTACAACAATACCAATCAAATGTCACAAGGTTAAGTTATGGAATTAAGTGACACTGTAGTAAATCTTTCATTATTTCAGTGTACTACATGCATATGCAGTTAAATCTTCTGTGTTTACTCACACTTGAAAGCCTGAAGCTTTCTAAAATTGATTCTAAATTAGTTCTTTGTGTGTTAAACTATTACAGTTGACATATCAAGGTAATTCAGATGAGTAACCTCCTTAAAAAGAGGCATACAAAAAGTAATTGCTGTGACCTTATATTGCCTTACTGTTTGTTGCTGAATGCAGTGATAGAACAGCAGCAGTGGGTAAGTATTGGAAATTCTCTAAAGTTATTGTACTTATCCAAAATACAGTTTAATCTGCTTTTATTGCAAGACTGAATTTCTCTGGGTCTGTCTTTGTATAGTTTTCACACAACTGTATTTCTTGTTGTGGGACTGTATCTTTTTTGTCTGTTTTTCTGGAAAACCTTTTTTCTGTTTTTCATCTGTATATGAGATGTATATAAACACACGTTTTTCTATGCTTGCCTTGACTTTTCTTACCCCTTTTGGGTGGCTGAACACAATTCTTGTCTCAGCATGTAGACAATATTTAAATACCCATATTACATTAGATCAGTGACTTGTGGAATAATTCACTCTGTAAATACATCAAAAGGGTGTGGAGCTTTGAGCACGGCAGCGGTCTGCAGCTGTCTCTTCGTGGTAGAATAATACTGATACTTTCTTGGTGAGCTTTTTACTGTACTGGGTTAGGTTTCTTCTGTCAAAATTAATAAATGAGCAAATCCTATATGAATTAGCATCAACTTTTACTAGTGGCAAGATAACTAGATTGTTGAGAACTGTTGATATGGCTACTGATGAGCCAAATGTTAAGGAGAGGGACAGTCCTGCACCACGAAACTTAGAACCTGGATAGATTACAGAATGCTGATATAGTTCAACACATGTATATTTAAATGTGTCAAAGACAGAAGATCTCTATAGATATCTATTTAAGTTACCTTCACAGATAAACTTTAATCTACAAATACGTAGTTTTCCCATTAATTACTTACATTACATAAACAATGCTAAATAATACTGTTTTAGAAGCTGCATTTATTTCTCCTGTATAGCCTTGAAGAAGTTCTCTGTTTACATTCTCTCTCTGCATTAGGAAAGGAACAGTCCCCTCCCCGACCCCAGCTACGCTGCTTGAAGGTGTTAATTCTTCCAGCTGCTTGTTTTCATCCTCTACTCTTTTGTCAGTAAAGAAGTGGGATTTGTTTGCATTTTTTAATACGCTTTGGGCAAAACCAGCCTGGTTAGCTCAACTCACCTATTTAAATTAAATTGGCTGGGTTTTGTACAAACCATATTAGGGAGCGCTCATATGATTTCTTCCTCCGGCAGAGCTGTGGAGATGATAATCTCCAGCAGATGTGTGATAACAAATAGCTTGGGATAGTAATGTCTTCATCTGGTGCAGTTGTTAGCAGACCAAATGTCTGTCTGTAGCCCGAGGCTGTGGGCAAACAATTGAACATGATTGAGTTATGGTGAGTTAACAAGTTGCTGCTTGGCAGCCGAACTGCCATAGCTGATCATGTGCTCGTTGTTTGCCTGCTCCCATTGTGAGGTAAAACACATTTTCTTAAGTCACCTTTGTAAAATTTTGTAGAAATGAGTTCTACCAAAAGAAGATTCCCCTGGGCTAAGAGATTCATTTGGTCAGCTATGGAGACAGTGTTGAATGGCTTTTTGCTGGACTGCTCCAACATGATTTTGAACATGTGTTTATATTGTTAAATATATGGGGGACCTCCATCACACAACTGTCTGCCTGTCTCTTAATATTTAATGTATTTATCCTCACGATGCCTGTATGAAGTTAGGAAGTACTTTTATCCTCATTTGACAGAATAGCCAGAATACTTAAACAACTTAATATTTTGCCTTTGGTGATACAGTCGATGCCATAACTAGTTAATTTATGCTGTAATCTAGAAACAACAGAACTGCAGATTGGGAAAACAGCAGACTGCTGAATAAGTTAAACTTTTATAATTATTTCCTTTACTATACATAATGGTCTTGTTTCATATTTCTTTTACAATGTGCTTCTGTTAAGTATCGTTAATTATTT